AAAAGCTCGTGCGCTTAGGTCCCATAAATATATTAAGAATATGAGAGAGAGATTAGCAAGCAGGGGAATTACCTACTGAGATATATGTAAAGAAATAAGTGAGAAAAGAGATGAGAAGAATGTAAAATTCTCAAAACCCCTGTATCACAACTAAGTGCAGTCAGGGTGTTATCCAAGATGCTATATAAGAATAGCTGTCTGAGGATGTTTTCTAGAGCAGAAGTGTGATGAAAAACAATCAATTGATTAATCTTTCCCTTGTACTCCATAGCTTTGGTAGAACGTTAAAGAATAATTATTCTAGGAATTAAAAACGGATGTTTCTTAGAGCAGGACTGTGAAAAAGGTGTTTCCCCTTCGTCTAGACAACTTCTACAGAAGTCGATAAACCAAGCCTCGGTTATCAAGTTTAGGGTTGGTTATCAGGTTAACAAGAGCTATGCCGTATCTATGTGTTGTTCGCATACTTTAAGTTAATGAATTAACTTCCGTTTCGCTAATTCATCAGTGATACAGTTATCGATTGAATTATTGTGTTCTCTTGCCAAAAGTAGTATGTTTTGTTTAATGTTTCTAGTCTAACCTTAAAGTAGTGTATACTTCTGTCCGGGATTTGATTGCACCGAATCCCCGTATCCCTGCACCATTATTTAAATGTCTCACCTTCCTTTTGGGGATGTCCGACATTAATGATATAATCTTAAAGAAGTATATACACTTGTCAGGGATTTGATCGCAGCTTGACAATAGTTATAAACTTTTAATTCTCTATTCTCTAATACTAAAGTCAATTTGCTGCTCTTCTTAAGCTCATTCTGAATCCTAAAAAATATTTTAACCCAGAGTTCTGAAATAAAGATACCACTCCCTAATCGCGCTCGCCGTTTTCGCGAATTCATCAGTTACATAGTTATCTATTGAATCCCCATGAATCCCTCGGCTTCCTTTTTAAGGATAACTGGCATTCCTGATCTAATCTGTCAGGGATTTGATTGCAGCTTGACAATAGCTATTCATCGGAAATTATCTATTCGATATTCTGTAATACCAAAGTCAAATAAATTGCAGCTCTTTTTGTGGTTATTCAGAGACCTTAAAGTGGTATAAAGATACAAGACCCTACTTACTCACTCTGCTTTCACTAATTTATCAGTTACATGTCCTAATATCCACTCTAGAACTACTATTGAATGTCTTGCCATACTGTTTAAGAGGGCCTAGAATGCCTAGTCTAGTCTTGAAGTAATTTTTACCTATCAGGGATTTGATGCTGCTTGACAATAGCTAAAGATTTGAAGGGAAGGGACTACAGTCATCCTGAATCGTACATGTTAGTTTAATCCCGAATACATAACATGGATGTATGGCGAACGACTTTCTTTCAGTCTAAAGTTTCGAGATAATAAAACCGAAGTATCACTGGAATAAGGTTTGGAAAGGCAATGACCGTTATTAGCTGGGAGATTAAATATCTCCTCTGTGATACTATACGCCTATTACATTAAGTCTGAGTGTTGTAGTTAGTACCAATTTCCTGGCTATCAGGTCTGTTAGGATACATTTAAAGTTCCTCTCATACCATACGCCTATTACATTAAGTCTGAGTGCTGTAGTTAGTACCAATTTCCTGGCTATCAGGTCTGTTAGGATACATTTAAAGTTCCTCTCATATTTTAGACATTTTCTTTTGCAATAAAAACAAAATATTGTAGCAAGTAGCATGCGCGAACGATAAAAAAACTTGTCTGTTCAACTTTTATAACAAGACTGACTTCTCTATGCTTTATTAAGTATTTAGACAGTATTACTTTTACATAAAAAAAACAATGTGGAAAAGAATATAAGAAAACATAACTGTTGTTTAACGACAATGGACATGAATAAACAAGGATGAGTATACTTAAACTATACAGTTACATATAAATAATATATTAATAATAAAAAATGCTTGTTGGATAAAGGGAAACATGCCAAACGGGGAAGTATACCACATATTGGCTACAACTCGGCCATCCTGACAGACGAGATCACCTGATCTCGTGCCGGGTCAATACAATTTCGGCCCCTAAACCATGGACGGATATTCCCGATGGCCCATACACCCTTGTAAGGATTTCTTGACTGCTGGAAACCCTCGACATCCTCCAACAAATACCGATCATTCCTAAGAACCTTGGCTATTCTGTACGGTCCCCTAAATTTTGGAATCAACTTCCTCGACACACCCGCATGTGAGTCAAAATTCCTAATCATTACGTAGTCACCCACTGAATATTCTGTCCCCGGTTTCTACGCTTATCAACATATCGCTTGTTGTAGTCCTGTAAAGATTTCTGTCTCCTAGAAGCCGCCTCCCTTACACAACCATGGTCGACCTGTGCCCTGTGCTGAAGATCGTCAAGTATACATTCCCTTAGTGTATCCACCACCGGACCTCTCTGCCCTAAACCAAACAACATCACACTTGGGTGCTGTCCAACTGCCCTATGAACGGTGTTGTTCAAAGCATGCTCCACCTTGTCCAATACCGTATCCCAGTACACTCCATTCTCCGGGCGAACTAGTTTCGCCAACATTGGACCTATACTCCTGTTAACTCTCTCCACCTGTCCATTGGCCTGCGGAGAACCAGTCGCCACCTTTATATGTCGTATGCCGTACTCGTTCAAAAAGTCCTGAAATTCCGAAGAAGTGAACGCGGTTCCCCTATCACTCACAACGCATTTCGGGCGACTATATGCTCGGAAGTATTCCTTCATATGTTCCACTACCTCCTTTGTCCTCGTGGTTTTCGTGGGATAAAGCCTCACGAATTTGGTGGTCGCATCGATAACAACCAAAATATGTTTCAAAAGTCTCCCATTGTCAACAGGGCCGTAATGATCAACGTGTATGACATCAAATGGAGCCGTAGATTTCGGAATACTGTTCAGAAAACCCTCCTCTTTCCCATGCTTATCCGAGTAAGAGATGCACTTCAAACAATTCTGAACATGATCGGAAGCCTTTTTCCTTATATGGGGAAACCAATAACCACCTGATATCAGATCCGTCATCTTGTCAACCCCAACGTGCCCCATTTCATCATGGTATCTATATAATACGTGACTTTCCATCGCCTCTGGTACGCAAAATAATACTACATCATCCTTATTAGTTTTCCTATATAGAATGCCATTTCTCATTTCATACATTTTACTCTGCTTGTTCTGAAGTTCCGCCTTTAGTTTTAGCAAACCTGGGTCCCTGTTCTGGCATATCACTAAGTTTTCCTCAAAACTATTACTCTCTATTACCATCACATGCAAACTCCTACTCAACGCATCCACATGCTGCATACGAGTACCAGCTCTATGTTCCAGTACATAATCATAATCCTGAAATTCCAAAGCCCACCTCGCTATCCTTGGGTTCATTTCCCTCCGGTTAAGAGTCATTGTGAGTGAGTTGCAATCAGTAACAATCTTAAATTTCCTCCCATGTAAGTATACTCTAAAACGTCTTAAAGCATACAAAATAGCCAGGGTTTCCAGTTCGAAGCTGTGGTACTTTGACTCTGATTCACTTGTCCTTTTGGAATAATAAAATACCGGATGCATCTTCCCATCGTCCTTCTCGTCCTTCTTCTGTAAAAGGATAGCGCCAAACCCCGCACTACTGGCATCACAGTGTAATTCTGTTTCATCCTTAGGATCATACAGTGCTAGTACGGGACATCCCAATAATTTCTCCTTCAGAGCTTCAAAGGCCCTTAATTCATCGATTCCAAATTCGAAAACCTTATCCTTTCTTGTCAAATCCGTCAATGGCTTAGCAATAGTAGAAAAATCCTTCACAAACCTCCTAAAATACGAAGTGAGGCCAAGAAAGCTACGAACAGAATGTACATTAGTAGGGACAGGGAAATCCCTTACAGCTCGCAGACCCGTGTCGTCAGCTTTAATACCATTACCATCGATTTCGTACCCCAAATACTTAACATTAGTCCTCAAGAATTCACACTTATCCAACCGCAATTCCAATTTGTTATCCACCAAACGCTTGAACACTTCCTTAAGAATTCGGAAATGTTCCTCAACATCCCTAGTAGCTACCATAATGTCATCCATATAAACAATCAACCTTCCATCCCTAACCATATCCGCAAAAACCTTGTTCACAAACCGCTGGAACACAGAAGGTGCATTCTTCAACCCGAACGGCATTCTTAAAAACTCATATTGACCAAGTGGGGTAACAAAGGATGTGTATTTCACAGACTCATCCTCAACATAAACGTGGTAAAAACCATTCTTCAAATCCAACTTCGTAAAGAACTGTTTTCCCGACAATCGGTCCAATAGTTCGTCAATAAGAGGAATTGGGTAATTATCCCTTAGAGTCATCTTATTCAGGGTTCTATAATCCACGCACATACGCAATTCCCCGTTTTTCTTCTTCACGAGCACAATAGGCGAAGCAAATTCTGATTCACTTGGCCTTATATATCCCTTCGCCAAGAATTCGTCCAGAATTGCCTGTAACTTTTCCCTTTCGTCATATGATAATCTTCTAGGCGTGCAATTGAACGGCCTCGGCTTGTCCAAATTAAGTTTAATCTCACTTCTCGTCTTGGGTTCAGATGGTCTTTCCGGGCCCACATATGTATCCAGAAATAACTCTATTAATCTTCTCCTGCCATCGTCCCCAACCTGTTCGTCTATTCTCAGGTCACTAGCCTCAGACATATTCCCACATTCAATAGACATAATTGCCCTCACAAAATCGCCGCCCCCTACATGATCATCCGTTCCCCGTTCCCCAACCACGGACCTCTTGTCAGCCAATATCAGTCCTACCTTGTCAAGAAAATCCCTTCCAAGGATACAATCAAAAACCATCACAGAATCATCAACAACAAATACATCAAGTCCAACATATTTATTTTCAAAATTCAAGTAAAGTAAAATGTTCCCAAAAGTTTTAAATTCAGTGCCATTTAGGCAAAAAGAAAAATTATCATTATTCATATGCTTCAAGCCAATCCTCTGTGATATCAGAGATTTCTTTATAAAGCATGCGGGACTCCCTGTATCCATCAGGCATTCTATATAAAAAGAATTTACAGAATTATCATCAACTACACTTAAAATACCTTAAATATCTATTTTCTACCTCGGGTCTATCTGTCTTCCGTTCTGGGCAGGCAGCAACGAGATGGTTTAAGCTTCCACAACCATAGCAAGCACCCACTTCCCTCTTTGGTTTCTGACACTCACTCGCATAGTGTCCAAAGCAATTACAGTTGTAGCACCGAACACCAGATTCTCGCTTTTCTCCTTTGTTGTAAGTTTGCTCACGTCCCTTTAAGGATATCTTAGAAAAAGCCATCAAAAGCTGCGATTTACTCTGGAAACACTGCAAATTTGCGTGGATTTTCAAACTGTTATCAGGGATCCCCTCGATGACGTAGTCTATTAGCTCATCTTCAGGAATTCTCAAGCGCTCGGCCAAAACAACTTTGTCATTAAAATAGGTTATGAAGTCTTCATTATACTGCCACTTTCTATATTCGAACTTTCGTCGTATTGAAAGCTTATTTTCTTTATCTCCAAACAATTCTGTTAACTCGTCAAGCAGCTTATTCAGATCCTCGTGTAAGTAATTAGACTTGGCATGCAACCAGCATTGTGCTTTCCCTTTGACCTTTGACATTAGTAATGCCTTAACTGTACTTATGTCTACTGAATACAGCTCCATTATATTTCTTACTTGCGCAACAAAAATAGTTGGCGCGGTAGAACCATCATATTCTGGCAACAACTCCTTCAATAATGTAAAAGAAGTATTGCCACCACTACCAGAATTTTCCTTAGCTTTTACAATACTGCTCTGTTCACGCTCATTGTTGTTTTCTCTATATTCGCCAATGTTAACGCCTTCACCACCAACGTTACAACCATATGCAGTACTGCTATTATTTACTTCACCACTGTTGCAATCATTTTCGCCACTGTTTACTCCGTTCACTGTTCCACCACCACTATTATTTACACAGCCACCGCACTCATTTGTTAAACCACTGTCACCATTCGCACCACCATCTCTATCATTTGCACTTTGCTCATTTTCATTCGCACCACCGCTGTTAACGGTGTTAATTTCCACACCCCCACACAAGACTGTTTGTCTATATTTTCGAACTCTTCCTTCTTTTTATAAAATTCATTCTCCTTAATCAGAAGTTCGTTCTCTTTCCTTATAATTTCGAGTTCTTTCTTTAGCAAATAATTCTCCTTCTCAAAAACACTGTTCATATTAATTTTTTCTGTTTACTTTTCTCAATGACATTGTCTTGTGTTTCATTGTCCTCATATTCACACTCACTAACACCATCAGTTACATTCGTCGCTAAACTGTTGTCTTCGATTGGACACACACCTCTTTCGTTCTGCGGTATGTCGTTGAGTCGCAAAACTAGTGCACTTTTTGTGCCAGCCGTCGGCAAGTTCAGCTGCTGAAGCCATCCACGCAACTGCGCAGCCGTATACTTGTTTGGATTTATTTCATCCATTTCCCAATAGTTCCGTTCACATAAAAATAAATTCTTCACGATATTCGCTTCAACACTTTTCTTTTCCTTGTTTCGTCTTTGTTTTCGCACTGATTTACTTTAAAAAGTGTTCTCAACAACAACAAAATTTTCCTTATTTTTCCCGTTTGTCTCTTTTACACTTGCAGTCTGTTATTTACGAACAAAAAAAATTTCTTTTTTTTCTCATCTGATTTTCTCCTTCACTTGTTGTTCATTTGAAACAATGTTCCCAAGAAAAATTTATCTCTTTTTTTTCTTTTCTCACTTTAAATTATTTTCGTTCTTCCTTCCACACTTGTTGCTTAACTTAAACAATGTTCTCACAAAAACTTTTTTTATTTTTTTTGCACTTTTTGTTCTTTATATCCCACTTCTGAAATTGTAGCAAGTAGCATGCGCGAACGAATAAAAACAACTTGTCTGTTCAACTTTTATAACAAGACTGACTTCTCTATGCTTTATTAAGTTATTTAGACAGTATTACTTTACATAAAAAAAACAAATGTGGAAAAGAATATAAGAAAACATACACTGTTGTGTTAACGACATGGACATGAATAAACAAGGATGAGTATACTTAAACTATACAGTTACATATAAATAATATATTAATAATAAAAAATGCTTGTTGGATAAAGGGAAACTTGCCAAACGGGGAAGTATACACATATTGGCTACAATATTTTTCTACTTCCCCCCCTAATAAAAACTTTTTATAAATTTGCTCATATAAAATTCTTGGAAATTGTAAATTAAAAAAATCAATAAATGACTTTCAATATCAAAACCACAATATTAAGAAAACTTATTCATAAACCTTTTGATAATGTTAAAACTTAATTTCCACAAAAAAATCAAATGACTCTTAAAAAAAACATAACTCAACTTAAGGTAAAATATAATAATAAAACAAAATATTTATGTTTATTTTGTTTAAACTTAGCACCTTTTTTCTAATATTTACTTATCATCCATTAAAATATAATCAACAAAGCTGTTTAGATAAAATGCCAAAAAAATATTAAAAAATAAGTAAAAAAAATATATTTACCAGCTTATTAAATGTTCACGAAAATACTGTTCAGCATTGGAGGGTTGGGCAGGACGTTTGAAAAACTTATTATAATCCGTAGCAGTAGAGGATGAGGCAATCATGTTTGCTTGCAGTTTGTAGTTGTTTTAAAACAAAAGGACACTTAATTTTATTAATATCACAGTTTAAGAAATGTTTTTCAATTGTAAGTTTTGTTTAGGAACTTTATTTTTAGAAAAAATTTCTAAGTTCTTTTTTTTACTTATTTCAGTCTTGTCGTGTTAAATTCTAACACGCAACTAATTGTGTTTAGAGTTGTTGGTCACTAACAGGTAGTTTAACAATAAATGTTGAACGGTAATTGACTAGAGCGTAGTAGACAAACATTACAATGTTTGTTTTAGTTGTTGCTGTAGTCTTTGATGGGTAGATTTGCAGTATTAGGGGGTGGGGGTCTATTACAAATAATAAAAAATTGTTTTGTAATCTTTCTCCGAAACCGTTACAATCTTAATGGGATTCACCGAATGATATGATATAGTCAAGTTATAGGCGTTAAATTTTTAGAATACTTTTAGTGTAAGTACATAAACTATTGTGAGGTACAGGATCGGCAGTTAAATGGTTAGCTTTTTTCTTTCTGTTAAGAGTTTAAGCACGTAGTTTGTAACTGTTGTTTAACTAATAACATTGATAACTTTGGTTTATTTATAGTTTTTTTTTTTTTGGGTATTTCTTTTGTTTTTATTGCTATTCTTTGTTATGATCACATTCGCATTTTTTTGCTAAATAATTCATATAAATTAGTTTTTTTAACAAATTTTTATAATAGTAGTTGTGTTTTGTTTATATTTTGTTTTGAATTTAATTCGCCCGTTTTTTAGGTCTGCTCTTAACGAGTGTTTGTTATTGAATGAATTGTATGTACAATCTGCTCGTTTAGTTAAGCTAGCGGTTAATACGAGCCAGCCGAACTCATAAATATGAAATATAAAGTTTGTACGTGCAAACAAAGTAAATTTATAAAGTAGACTCATTTGAACAGCTGACTATTTTTTTTTAAACTTGCTATTTGTGGACTTACTTGTCAAAAATGTTTATGTTGCCATATTTGTTTTCATTTTAACGCTTGCTTTTGTACAAATTTCTGAGTAATTTGTTGTATTTAATGTGAAAAAGTGTATTTTAAGTGTATAATATTTTTAAAAATGTTCTAATTTTTAAAAAATAAAGAAAAACTCTGTGGACTTTTAATATAAATAACAACATATTTTTGGAAGGTACAACAATAATGCCATATTTTCCATTAATTATTGGTTCATTTTTGTAAACAAATTTTGACAAGTGAGTATTTCGAACAAAAACAAATTGCCTGTGGTTTTTGTAGACGTTTGTTGTACAACAACTCGTGTCGCTACTTTATTAATTTACTTTGCGTGCAAATGTACAAAGTTACGATTACGTGTGTGAGTGAGCGTGAGAAGTATTTAGTAGTTTTCACTTGGAAATTTTTTGGTAGAAGAATTAGTAAAAAAATAATGAGAGAGAGAGTTTAGGAGAGTATGTAAACAAAATGTTTGTTTTTTAGAGAACAGTCAGAAAATATAATTAATTATTTTAAATTATTAAAGCGATAAATTATTATTAGGTGTGAAAACATATGTATGTAGAGTTGCCATTCGTAGTTGATCAAATTACTAGGGAATTTATTTCTGATTTCTGATTACACCATTCTTTTAAAGATCTTAAAGGGTTTCAAAATTCTCAAAAAAATATCTTGTCATGGTAATTGAGCCCATTCTAATGTATGGAGCACTTGTGAAGACTATCCAAACTTCTGCGCTTATGACAACCTGAGCGCCACCCAAGCCTTTGTGCAGTTACACCAGGGCTACCACTGGGTCTTATGGTCAAACAAGTGGCCGTAAATTCAGTGGTTAAGCTAAAAGCAGTGACTGCTACTCCCCTGTTCTTCTCCCGAATTTAGATTTAATGTAGGAACAGCGAACGAGTCATTCTTAATTAAGACTGGAACTATATAGGTCTGCTCAGATCAGATGGTCATCAACGTTTACCTGTTACACAAAAATTAACTCAGGTTATTGTAAAGTATCCAGGTCAGTACTCTACAACAACCTAAGGTCATTTGATCATTGCTAGCGCGTGAGCGGCTGAGACTACTGATATCCGTGTTGACTGGGCATTGATGAGTAGGTGCGCATGTATGGAGTCTAAATATTTCATTCAACTTCTGCAGAAGTTAAATTGACGAGGAAAATGAAAAAAACTATCGAGCACTTCTTTAAGTGTATCCTGCTCAGTCTACTATGGGCCGTACTTTCTTGCATGATCTGGCTGATTTCTATTCTATCTACATTCTCTAGCTAGATTCGTTTATTCGCGAAACAATTTGGTTTGTCGCGACATCAACCATGGAGTTATCTAAATAGTAAGTTGATTTACGATACGTTTCGGGTATCACAATAGTACTAAACCTGGACCCAAAAATGTCGCTTAACATGCAGACTGCCTTCGTAAGCTAACCTGTAGCTTTACTGTAGATGATTTTAAAACAAATTTGCGGATTTATTGCAAACAATAACTTAAAACCTAAGAAATCTAAGAAACTATTAAAAACTCGCTTTTGTGCCAAAAACTAATCGCTATTTAAAATCTATTTTTCATTTTTCAGCAGTGGAATGAATCTGTTCGAACGAGTTGAACTGTCAAGTATGCTGCCATAACTCTTTAAGCCAAGCCCTTCAAATAGCCGGAGAACAGTTTCAATATCATAGCATATTGGGCAGAAATATCCGCTTATTTCACGAGTGCAAAGCCGCCATTAGAGCCGTTGAGAAAGTGTACACCACTTCAAGAGACACCAAATTGGAGACATATACGGCTATCAAGGAGCATATGACCTTGCTAAGGATGCCACATAAGTGAAGTTTACAATAACATTGGTGTTCCTCTTTTTAGTAGAGGAACAGATCCAACTTATTGTTTACAAGAGACGGAAGATTTAACACACCTGGATGGATGAGGATGAAGTTGAAATATGACTTTGCAGGGCCATTGATCTCGCGGGAGTCCATTGGTAATCCAATTTTAAGCAAACCGGACACCATGGGATTTGCCCAGTTCGACTTTTTCTGAAGTCTCAGTTCTACAAATCCGCAATTTTTCAAAAATCTTTAAGCCTCAACAGTTCGATAACTGTTTTAAACAAACGATAGCTGTTTTAACTTCCCTTTTAATGAGATAATGAGGGATTATCAAAAATCTTGACAAGTACAATAACATAGTTATAGTATTATTATTAATTGCTGATTTGGTTTCAATTAACATTTTATTAAATAATAAATTTTAAAATATGACAGGGAAAGTTCGACGTTAATCTTATCTAAATTTTTTTTTTACTTTTTTTTCACAAAATCGTAAACAAAACGTGACCACGATCAGTAACTGCGAATATTTAAAGACAGTGAAATGAAATTCTTTAAACAATGGCAACTCTTTTTGTCTAATACTAAATGCACATCAACAACAAATATTACAATATTTACACAATTTGTTGTTAGTGTTAAACTAAGTTCAACAATAAAAACAACTGCTAAATGCAGAAGGGAATATTTAGTTCTCTGTTTTATTTTGTTTAGTTTTTTTTTCATTTTCTGTGTTTCTTCATTCACAACATTTCACACATGTGTATAAATATAGATTTTATCGTTGTTGTTGTTGCTGCTATTGCTTTCAGCTTGAGGTCTAAACTTAATAGCTCTAACGCGCCACCGAGCACGTAGACATCTTCATGATTTGTTGTGAATAGTGGGGGAATGACAGAAAGGGGGATGTTTGATGGGATAGACCAGTCAGCCAACCAAACATTCAAATACAAATGTTTATATTTGTATATTTTTACTTATGTTTGTATGTTTCATTGTGGTAATAAGCAGAAGTATTGTATTCAAACATTTCTCAATTTCTACTTTTTTTATTTTAAAAGTTGTTTTCTTCTTCTTCGTCGTCGTCTTATGTAGTTTTGTACTATAGGTACGTGTGTACGCCTTAATTTCTAAATACTGAATGAAATAGTTAAACGAAATGGAATGGGTCAACAACCGAATTCAAAGACAAACATTTTATTTGTATTTGTAGATAAAAGATCAACCTTCAACTCGGTTAAGAACGAAGTGAAAATTAACATTAACATTTTGCGATTAATAAATAAAAATATATCACTATCAAAATAATTGATAGCGTTTTAGTGTGAGAGTGAGCGAATAGTTGCCGGCATAACATCTAATAAAACCAATGTATTCACTCTACACGCAGATGAAATTAAAAGCGAGAGAAACTATATTTTTATAGAAATGATGATGACTTAGGAATATGTAAATGTTAAGATGAAGACAAGCCCCTTTCAAGGTAATCTGTTGGTGTTTAGATGTTTGTCCAAAAGTCTTGAAACTTTATAATATCTCTGATTCAGAACGTATTTGGAGTGGGCTAATCTGCAGCTTTGTATATTTCCATGAATACATGAATTACAGCTTCTAATGACTCTTACGCATTGCGGACTCAAGTCTTGTACCATTAGCATTTGGAGATATTCGAATAATTTGGAGTTCTCTGACAAGGTTAAGTATTGAAACACAAGAAACTCGATTCATCTTTTTCTAGATGATCTGTAAATGGTCCCCATGATTCCTATTACAATAGTGCTCCAAATACAAGATCTTTTCAGATCGGTCAGTTCCGTCACTCTAGTTGTTCAAAACTTTGCTGACAGTTTCTTGTTCTGATTTAATAATGGCTTGAATGTTGTTTGAATTGAGGTTTCGCATAGCATCGGTATTCAAGGGAACACTATAAAAAACATGAATTATTCAAATCGCAGTTCCGTGGCAACCATTTGTCATCGCTTAGATGGCTGATAACAGGTTAACATATCTTCATGAGCAGTATGTCAATTGTTTGTGAATGAGAGTTTATCCAAGTCAAGTTCAGCTGCGCTCTCTATTGATCGAAATAGCATAGCAATTTTTAAAGAAAATGTTAATTTATACCAATAATCGTAAATCTTTTCTTTCTCTTCTTGACAATGATGTCCGAACCCCTGAGTTGAAAATGCCCCTCTTCAGCTCGATTGGAGCTTCCAGCCAAACTGAGAAGTCGTAACGAAGGTGGACAGTTGTTTGTCTTCAATTACTGAGTCAATTTTAAGTGAATAGAGTCCAAAAACTTTTGATTGGGGCGTGAAAACCCTAATTATTAAAGTTGATGTTTTTAGAATAAGTTCATAGCTGCTCGTCGGTCAAGATGTATGCTTGGTTTGAATGCTACAAGTCAACCTTGCCCACAAGATAGTCTCTGCTTTGGTCACACTTTTATTACGTAGATAATCAGTTATAAAGGGGCTTTGAAGTTAGTTGCTTCTATTGCAAATAGCTGTGATGTATCTGAGTTTACTCTGAATCGAATATTTATCAGTCATGAATGAAAATCAAATCGATTTTGCTCAGACCTAATGTTAAATCTTGATCACATATTCCCTATAGAGTCTCTCTTGATCACACTATGATTGCCGAAGAAGCTTTCAAGTCAGTGTCTCCAATTCTAATAGCTGTGATGAATCTACAATCTTACGTAGTGCTTTACTGTACAATTTAGAGGTTATTAGATCATTCGTGACTTGTATTAGTTCGCTTCTGGATGTATATCACATGGAATTTGCGAATATTTTTGATAATTTTTTTACAATCAGGTCATGTGAATAAATTTTTGCGGAAGTTACTTAAATATAATTTCTTAATACTAATAAGCTGTCAATATCAAAATTAGTTGCCAACTATACATACAATATTTGGAGATAATTTTTTTAACAATAGCATATAATTATCGCCAAACTTTGAAGAACTTTCATCGTAAACAAATCAAAAATAAAAGTAAATATCAGCATGATTTGCGATTTTTTTTTTTTAAATTTCTATTAGAAAAATTAATAGCTATTTATAAAATAAACAATCGCCAATTTAGATTGATTATATTTGGCAACCCCAAAGAAAACAACAAACACGTAGAGATTTCCACGTACTCATGTACTTGCGAAAAAATTGTGCGTTCAAACATGTACCCAGCCAACATTTGCTATCGCGACAGAACTCTAATTAGCGTTTTTAACATGAGATGTCTACAGCATTAGCACATTTTATTTAATTTTTCTAAACTGTCCACATTGGTCTTTTTTAACATAATTTTCAAGATCATAAATCTTTATTAATGTGTTTTATGTTCCATTTATAATACATATGATAATTTCTATGCAGGGTCCAATAGCTATTCCATCAACGTAAACGCCACACATTAACTAAAAACAAAAAAGTGACATTTGTTAGTTGATTTTAAAATATTACTTCCAGATGTTTGTAGGGAAATTGAAAAAGAAATATACGAATTGGCATACACACCAACACACAAACATACATCTACCATATGTATGCACATACATTGTAAAACGTTAAGAATATTTGTTTACTTTCTCAATGAGGAAATATCAGACGTATGTGTATAAACGAATGAACCAAGAAACGAACGACCTTGACAGGGGTATAGAACAAAATAGTAGTAGTAACGTTATAAGTAGTTATATATACAATGTATGTAGATATGCATATATATTTTATAGATATTATCTACGCAAGCGCAGGTACAAAAACAACATACACATACAAATATTTGAATACATCCATACAAATTAATGTACAATGGATGAATGACATGTGAATGTTGTTACTGTTTTTTAAATAAAAAATCGGGTTTAACGGTCAAGCGACCGAATTCTCCTTATAAAATTTTCCATATTGAATTCAACAAAAAAAGTGATAATGTTAAAAAGAAGGCAAAGAATCTTTAACTTTCATTCTGGTCTTGTACATATGGAACAGTAGCGGAGCTATTTGTGGTACATTTCTGGAATAAGATTGAAGGATTGGGAAATTTATCGAGCGCAGTTTGATCTTTATCTTTAACGATAACATTGACTAATTCTTTAATACAAACCATTGTCTGTATGGATATCGGAAGGGTCTTGTTTCTTTGGTAATAGCACGCTTAATAACGATACAAAAGACCCCAGTCAATTCCTCACTTGGTTTGAAAATCGTATGTATAGGGCTGCGCGATTAATGCAGCAAATCGGCAAATAAAAAGAGCGTTGCAGTGGACGAAGCTCTATAGTTCGAAGAAATACACCTAGGCCTCCATCGGACCTGTTATGTGATCCTTTACCTGTGTCTCTGGTGGGAATCCAAAACACGACCTCCGGTCTATCATTTAAATCTTTATTTGATGTCGAGTTAATTTGAGAATGTTAAAGCTGGATCTCTTTCAGACAATAAATACATCGGGTTTTTGTGATTATGCTCAAACCAAATGGTCTGTCTTGTCTACTATATGATTCTCATAAGTCAGCGGCTCCTGTCTGTAACAATCGAAGGATCGAAGGAGAAAATCACACATAGGGCTTATTGGTCTCTGGTAGGAACCAAACCCTCAACCTACGGCCTGAGTATTATAGTATGAACGCTAACTAATAACCGACTGGGGGTACTAAAGCAGACACAGATGTGTATTTTCGTCTTTGTACTAATAGTATACTATCCACTAAATCTCTATTTGGTGTCGAGTTATTTCGAGAATACAATACAATACAAATACATCGGGCAGTATTCGATTATACTCGAACCAAATGGTCATCCCTACTTGATATCCTTGTTCGTTATCAAAACTGACTTGGCTACTCTATGATTGCTTTAAGTCAGCGGTTCCGACTACAGATATCTATGATAACTGGGAAGTGTTTAATTAGTGTGGATGGAAGAAGAAGCTGACACAATAAAGTAACAGAGGACATATCACACACCTAGGCATCCATCGGGCCTGTAGCACGATTCTTCATCAGTGTGTCAGAGAACCGAACCCACAGGAGGCATTAACGCACTATAAGATATGGACTGCCAGTAAACTATCCATTAAATACCGAATTAATTCGAAAATGTTAAAGCTGGATCTCGCTTTCCGAGTAAGGTGACTGACTGATCAGTCAATATTCCTCATTCAGGCAATAAATTTTAAAAATACATCGAATACTATGCGATGGTAATCCTTACTCGATATTCTTGTTCGTTATCGATACTGTCTTGGCTACTCTATCATTGCCCTAGGTCAGCGGATCCAATTGGTGATATCTGTGACAACTGGGAAGTATTCTGTTTTGTCAGAGTTAGGAATCTATGTCTAAGGCAGTTGTTTTTCGCACCATTTAGAGAATCTTTTTATATTCATAAAATAGATTTGTTTAATCGTGTCTGGGATTAAAACGATTCTGTACCCATCAAGGATGTTTGGGAAATTGACATGCTAAAGTTCTGTGAACAGTTTTTCGAGAGTAAAATAGGTAAAACGATGAAATTTCTATTCTTTAGCTTTCTTGATGCCAAAATAAAATTCTGACCAAGAATATTCTGTAAAAAAGTCAATCTTTTCTGATAACTATACCTAAAAGTCCCCTAATAAACAAGATGATCTAATACGATAACTCTTTCACAAAGAAAACGTCTACTTCAATAAAAAACGATTACAACAATAATATGATAAGGTGTAAATAGTTACCATTGAAGTTGAACAGTTTTATACTTAAAATTCCTTGTAACACAATTCTTTTGTTATCTTATCGAATCACTTTAAATATATTAAAATAGTTCACAAAAAAAACAAATAATACAGGGATTACAATTTTACAACAATGTAATTAAACAAGTGCACAAAAATGAAACGTGACGAATAACATTTAAATGTAAAATATGACTTAAATTACAAATAAAGAAGTTGTAAATAGATTTAAAGAGCAATAAAAACAAAAAGTTGTTAAATCTACAATACCTACAGATACTGTCTGTCAACAACGCCTCTGCAATAACAGTTTATACAGACAATCCGTTTTAAAACAAAAATGTAAATCAACCGGTAAAAGAATACAGGTAAAACTGAAATCATTAAAACAAGTTAAACATGAAAAATGTTTTTAGCTAAATTAACTTAAGTTGAAAAACTGAAAGGTGAGCAGTCAACGAGAAGTTTTGAAAGGAATAAAATTAAACCAAAAGGTTGTGAAGATGTTAGCAAAAGTTGGAAATTTGCAATTTTGCAATAATAGTAACTAAAAATCTATAAGCAATTAAAAAGGAAAACGAAAACTCTGTTTGGGACTTCAACCAAAATTTATTTACCCTTTCCCTCGTTCGAATTTTAGGCGTTTACGTTCGGAGGCTTAATATGAAATTGGACAAATTTATGCGATTGCATTTGGAAGATCATCCTGCCACTAGGTGACTTACTGAATATCTAGATATCTCTTAGATGTTCTTGTACCAATTCGATTTGACATGCTTCCAATTAGTGCCCAACGAGTATGTCCATACGAAGTCTTAAGTTCTCAAGACAATTGCATCCTTATATCGAAACAACCCTGGAAGAAATCGACCAAAGATTGTCAACACGTCGATAGCTTGTTGAACTTATTCGATTACATTCAGGAGCTTAATATTCCTGTACACTTCATCTCAGTTAACGCATCAACGTTACATTTTTGAAACAGTCTACGAGGTTGTAGAGTAGTGTGTTCTGTAATAGGACAAAATTGTGCGATTACATTTGGAAGATCATCCTACCATTAGGCGACTTACTGAATATCTAGAGTTCTTGAGAACCAAACCGACCCAAATAGGATGGTCTCCTAAAAGTTGTTGTACCAATTCGATCTGACATGATTCCAATTATTGCCCAAAGAGTATATCCATACGAAATCTTAAGTTTCCAAGATAATTACATCCTTTCATCGAAACAACCCTGGAAGTAATCGACCAAAGATTGTTAACACGGCGATAGCTTTATCCAGCGAATCTCTACTAACTTAAAATTTTCCTTTTCCCACGACCCTCGAACTGATTTGATTATATTCCTGTGTACTCCATATAACGTTAACGTTACATCTTTGAAACAGTCTCCTAGAAGTAATTGTTACGATTTCTTGAATAACATGCGTCTAATTAGTGACCAACAAGTATAAGTTTCTACTACAATTGGAGCATTACTTCCAAATAAGCTGAGACATACTTGGCTAAAGATTTTCAATACAGCGAAAGCTTTAACAACTGCTTCTACACTAAGAGACTAGAGAGTCATGTTCAATTTCCGTGCAAGGAAGGAATAAATTAAGTTCGCACGACAATTGCATCATTATTCCGAGACATACTCGGCCATACATTGCCAACACATAGAAAACTTTATCAATCGAATCCCTGCCAAGAGACAACATAATCATGTTCACTTTCCGTTCAAGAGAGAATCAGGTATTGTCAACACATCGAAATTTTATCAACCGAATATCTGCTTTTTTTCCGTGGAAGTGATATTTAAAAAGTTCAATTGGATCTTTACATATTCCGCCAAAGCTTTTCTACACAATAAAAGCTTTATCAACAGAATCTTTACCAAGATGCAAGAGAGTTATGATCTCATTCCGTACAAGATAGAATCTGATAAATTCCCATGACAATTGGATCTTCACTCCGATCATTATTAAATAAATAAGTTCAATTGGATCTCTAAATACTCTGTCAAAGCTTGTCTATTCAATGAAAGCTTTGTCAACCGAAGCTTTATAAAGATGTAAGAGGGTTTGATCATTTTTCGTACAAGAAAGAATCTGACAAATTCCCACAACAATTGGATCTTCACTCCGAAATTTTCGGTCCGTGTAAGAGATAATCCAAGAAGTTGCCAAGACAATTGGATTGACAATTGGACAATTTACATTCCCGGCCATGTTCCATTTCCCTGGATTTGTACTTCGAAACTGTCCGGAAACATATTCGAATAAAGATTATCAATGCTTTATCCGAATCATCACCAAGAGGTAAGGGAATCATGCACCTTTTCCGAGTAAGAGCGAATCAAATAATAATTGGATCTAAGGAACTGAGACATTGCCAACACAGCCAAGTCTACCAGGAGACTCTATTCATACAACAATTGCATCCTTACATACTCTGCCAAAGATGATCCTCATACAGAAAGTATAATCAACCGAATCTCTACCAAGAAGTTTCATGTTTCTTTTCCGAGCAAGAGAGGATCTGAACATTATATATAGTTTAAAAGCGTCAACGATGATATGAACATATCTTAGCGCCTCTCTTCTACTCAAGATCGATCTGGTTATTGGGCATAAAAAATGTTATTCCTCCAATTTCTTTCAGTTACAAAACCCCTATTAAGTCGACAAGGTGTTCTGACTCAGAATGCAAA